AAGAATTCTTAATGAACAAGAGTGTAAGTTGATATAGTGTAAGCTTGTTCCTTTAAAAGTCAGTTTTTTTGGTTGGAGATTATGCTTGGATAGGCTTGCTACTAAAGTTAATTTACAAAGAAGAGGGGTGATGTTGTAAGGGGAAGAGTTGTTATGTGGTTTATGTAGTGAGTAGGTAGAAAAGAGTAACCATTTATTTTGTACATGTAGAGAGTCATGGAGGGTATGGATGAAGGTGTTAAAATGGCGAGGTTTGAAGGTGGTGTTGCCGAATACTGCTAAGGGAGTTGCTAAGGTGTTTACGTTTGGGTTAAGGAGGAATATAGGAAAGGAATTGGGTTCTTGTATTTTTTTTATTAGTATGTTCGTAACTTTGTTTTGGAGGAACATAATTGTTTCTCAAAATGACAAGACTTTTAGGTAGTAGGTGCTAGATACAGTGCAAACTAAATCATTTGTTTAGATTAAATAGAGGTTGTAGGGATGTGTTTTTTCTTTTTATGATTGGCAATCTAATCCAATTGAATGTGCGCTAGCTGTTACAGGGAATAAAAGTTGTCTAAAACAATTTTTGAAGAGTTCACATTGAAAGAGTGATTGGAAGGGTGAATAGCTACACATTGAGGTTTGTTTTTTCTATTTTGAGTCTAAATGGTGCCAAAGTTGTTGAAATGCAAGTGCATTTGGATATTGTGTACAATGTAATTATTTTTTGGCAAGAGTACCCTTTGTACTCCACTTTTTAATAAATATTTCTTTTGGATGATAAAAAAAAAAAAAACTATCTCTATTGCTTTTATGTGTGGAAAAATATGATATGGTTGTTTTGTTTGTTGCTCAAAAATTGTCAAAAAAAAAAAAGTGCTTGCAAATTGTGCTACTAAGCTTGAGCCTAATTTGAGAAAGGGTGTAGCAGATAAATTTGTCACTAATGAAGAAATTCCATAGTCAACCATTTGCTATGGTATTCCCATACCCAAGGAAGATGATAGTAACATAGTGACAGAATATAATATCATGAAAGTTTAAGGAAACAATTTGGTGGGCTACTTGACTTCCCTTTTGTTGGGTTTTAAACAAGAATTCAAGCTAAATGAGTTACTTGAAGAGCTTGAACATTCAGAGGTCAATGACATGGTGGAAAATAGAGAAGATCTTGACAAAATGGTATTCAAGAAACTTCTAGAATTAGAGCCAAATGACTTAATGGAAACTATGGAAGAAAATTTTGAGTTCCTCTTTGTCTTACAAGCTATTCAACATGTAGAGTTCATTTTTTTAGAAGAATTTGATGCTAAACATCCTACTTTGAAGTCTACTTTGTTTGGTTTGAACATCGAAGTTGAGTTACCAAAAGCACTGTAGTTGTATTATTTATAGCCTTGAAATTTATATGGCTTCAACACTACAAAACTCGAGGTTGAGTTTTCACCAAGTGGCGGAGAATGATGTAGATAAGGAAGGAAATAATATATTTATTAGAATTTTATTATGATTATGAATATATTGGAATTAAATGGAAATATTACTAGTAGCTTATATTTATTAGGATCTATTATTATCTTTCAATAAAGATTCAATTGGGAGTTTAATTATGAAGTAAGTTTAATTTAGGTTTTTAGCTTTTAAAATTAAGCATAAATTGTATTAGAATTATTCAATTGAAATGTTTATAAATTGAAATTATCTTTTAAAAATCCCTAATTTTACTATTCTCTTCCCACCCTTGCCTCTGTTTCTAAGTTTTATCCTCACCCTTGCTTCTTGTTCTAGATCAATGCTTCCATCAAGTTATTGTTGATGTCAGGTATGTTCATTGCTCTCATGATTATTCTTTATTCTTATGCATCATTCTCCATAAGGCATTACTCTATGTTTGATTTATGTTGACAATATGCTTATTACAAGTTGTAACAAGGAAGGTGTTGCTAGGTTGAAAGAGTTACTTGGTTGTTCTTTAATGACGAAAGATTTGGGGCCAGTAACATATTTTCTTGGTTTGGAAGTTCTCTCGTCTTCTTGTGGTTATGTGGTGAAGCAATGGAAGTATGTTATGGATTTAACCCAATTTGCTAATTTATCTAATGATAAATGTGTCAGAACTCCAATGGAAGTAAATGTTAAGCTTAGAAAGGAGAATGGTGAAAAACTCTCTAATCCTAGCTTTTATCGTCAACTTGTGGGAATTGATATTGCTTATGTTGTACACGTGGTTAGTCTATTTGTAGCAAATCCTTGACGATTACATCTAATTATAGAGCTTTGTATAATTCGATATCCATGTGGCACTATGTCCTAGGGACTTTTCTTTGCCTCTCATCCTTGTATTAAATTGCAAGCTTATGCAAATGCTAATTGGGTTGTCTTGACACAAGTCACTCAATCACAAGGTGTGTGTTTCTTGAAAATGCAAGACACAAAGAACAATGTCCAAGTCATCCTTAAAGTTGAATACAGAGTAATGTGTTCAACATGTAGTGAATTGACATGGCTTAAAAGATTTTTACAGGCATTTACTTTTTCTACTCCTCCTTCACCTCTTTATGCTGATAATATGAGTGCAATTTGTATTGCATCTAATCTTGTCTTTCATGAGTGTACCAAGCACACTGAAGTGGATTGCCCCTTTATACGGAATATGTATCTTGCAAGTGCAATTATTGTTCCTTATATTACTTTCGAGCGTCAAATTACAAATATTTTTATAAAGACAATGACTAATGCACAACACAAGATTTTAGTGTGCAAATTGACATTGGTCCCCTTGCCTCAATTTGAGGGGGAGTGTAGGAAAAAGAATAATTTTTTTATATTGAGGGTTTTTATGTAATTTGCATATTGTATGTAACCTTAATATAAATAGAGTTTGTTTTATTTTTACCATAAGTGTTTGTTTGAATAAAATTAGTAAAGGGAAGGAAAGGGAGGGGAAAGGGAGAGAAAAAAGGAGAAATGAAGGGAAGGAAATGATTGATGTTAATTTTGTTTAGATAGATAAAAGTCGAAAAGAGAGAATGATAATATTTTTATTTAATTAAATAATTTTAAAAAATAAAATAAAATAAAATATTTTAAATTCACTAATTAAAAAAATAACTGGTATAAAATATATTTATATATTTTTAAAAAAATAAAAATATAAATGTAAAAAACCAATCCTTCCAAATCCCTCCAATTTTAATTTGGAGGGATTGAAAATAGAGGAGTGGAAGGGATTACATCTCCCTCCATCTCCCTTATCTTCATTAAAGTAGTGTTATTGGTATCGTTTCATATTGGTTGGTACGACTAGTACATATTGGATTTTTTAAATTGATTGAAATGGTATAAGATGGAATTTTGTTTTGGTCAAATTTTGGATGTTTCGGTCAAAATCTGATGTACCAGCCAAAATTTCAGTGTATTGGTACACACTTTCTAAATTAAAAAAAAAAAAAAAAGGATTCCCTAGCTGATGGTGCAGCCATTGCTTTTAATTACCCCTGCAATGTCATATTGTAGTGTTGCCATCCTCCGATCCTAGACCTCGACTCCTTGCTGGTGGTGTAGCTACTTCTCTCTCTTCTTGTTTCACAAATCATGCACCCTAGATCTTGGACTTGGAGAATGATTCATGGGCTAGGGGCTTCTCTCTTGACTCAATGACTCAGTCGAAAGCAAAAGTGTGAAGACTAGAGTGAGCCAACTTGGATAATGGTGGTGGTGAACGAGTCAACGATCAAAGGTTATCCACACGCGTCAATTAGCAACAGGGGAGTGTTTGATTGGTCTCTTTGGAATATCGTGCTATCAAACACCATCAGTTTCAAAATTCTCTTCCTTTAATTGATCACTTTCTTTTTGTATGAAATGGGGGACAGATTGACGTTTGCATAAAGTAGGACTTTTCTAATGTAGAAGACACTTAACGGTAAGACAGATTGAAGAAAAAAAAAAAAAGGTGAAGTTTGATAGTGGATGTGGATGATAATTGGAAGGGATTTCATTGAAAAAATTCAATTTGGTGTAGAAGAAAGGTTAATAGTTGAAGAAAGAAATGATTGTTACTAGCTTCCAAATTTGGTCCCTAATTACATTAGTTTATCTTATAATTATTTTAAAATTTTATATTTAAGGTATAAAATATATATATTTATAACGATAATCCAAAACAATATATGCAAAAAAATCTAACACAATATGCAAAATATTTTGGTATCTGGTATGTAACATTTTAGTAGCAAAACCGATATATATACTGATGCGGTATTGCCAACTTTGCATTAAAAACAATAATTCAAACATGAGAAAAAGGCATATCTCCCTTCTTCTCCTTCCTTTCCCCTCCAAATTCTCCAATCCAAACTAAGGCTAAAGCACAAATTAAGAGCATAATAAATGTACCTTTTTATAATTAATTTATATAAAAAATTATAAAAGTTGACATATATTTTAACAACACCAATACGTTGATGATTTTAATTAATTAATTAATTAAATGAAAATTAATGTTTATACTTTAAATTTTTTTATTAGCAAAATAAATAAATTTTTATTATGCAAAGTACAAAATAAATATTTATACTCCAACCCGTATACAAAATTAAACAATATCTAGCAGACACATGTAAACATAAATTACTTTTCTAGCAACCTTAGCCATAACCTAAACCACCCAATGGACCCATTAAGCCCTCCCCTTTTGATTCATGGTACTCTTTCAGCAACCTCTTGTTTTTCCTGATAGCTGTAGTAATCTTAAGCGGATTGATCTTCCAATCACAAAACAAAAAAACACATCCCTACACTTTACTCTTAATCCAAAAAAGAGACTTGGCTTGTATCATATCCAACAAGCCTTTCGTTAGACCCCCATCCTCCTTAAAAACTCTACAATTTC